GGGGGAGAGGGATAAGAACCCCCCAAAAGTTTTGCCATCTTTTGGTATGATGTTCGCACCACTTCAAAACGCACGGGGAGTCGGGGGCTCGGATCCCCGTCCATCTTAAATTTTTCTCAGGCCACCAAATTTCAAATGGTCTTTAAACCCGTCATTTCACCATGACGCCTTCGTGGAGTTCAGACGGCGTAGTGGTTACCGTCCTTGGTGGTTCTGCGTCAAAGGTGGCATGTGGCTCGGCCCTGGGCCAGGGTTCGTCAACGGCGGAAGCGGGGCGTGGGAGTTCCCTGGTGCCCGGAACCTTGTTGTGGTGGCGGGTGGACTATAAGACCTAGAAACTGGCTTAAAAAGAGCTCCATGACCTGTGGTGGTTCGTCCTGCGGTGGGATGAGGATAGTACTCCCCCATTTTTATTTTTGTCCGGGTGTGAGGAAAGGGGCGTGAGCATTTACGACGCTGAGCGAACTTATTTCTACAGTCGGTTCTGATAAAAGCTGCCAGTGGCCGTGTCGGTTGTAGCTACAACTGTGTCGCTACAAACAGGGACGTGGCCCCCGACCCGTGCGTTCTGCGTGGGGAACGCCGGGGCAAGTGGTGGCTGGGCCCGCCTGGAGGGTAGGCAATCGGTACACAAGCTATCCCTTAGGTTTGGGTTTGGGGGGGGGGGGCATTGTGTTAGTTTAGATGCGTCCAGGCCCTTTCGGCTTGACAGGGATTATGCGCAGAATAGATCCTTGCCTTCTGCTTCCACCCTGAAGGCTTCGGATTTCATATTACCCGAAAAAGGATGTTCTATAGTCGGGTCGCATTAAGCTGACTCTGGCCACCGGATTCGTGGACTGAGATCTCTGATTGACGGAAGTCTACAGAAGGGTTTGGAACGAGCGTGAGAATAACTCGCGATTAATGTCTTTCTTTTAAGTAGCAGTTTGGCAAGGTCAAATATAACTGCAAATATGTTACGTAAAAAGAAGGTGAGAGGAGGAGGGGGGTATGTAGATTGTTTTATGTTGACTCGGGTAGATGGGAGATATTAAGTTTGACTGTACGATAGTCACACCTTTCCTGGAATGCTTATGCACATAAGGCGTGATTCTCAAAATCTGTGTTCGAGCCGGCGGCGACAGTTTTAACCCGCTGCGCGTTCAGCTCCCGTCTACCTTGCCCTTGCGAGTAACTCCTGGGTCTCCCCCTCCTCGGAAAACGCGCGATTCACCGTTGCGCGTGTGGTCCTGGGAAGCGATAGCGCCGAGCAAACATTAGCGCCTTTATCACGGCGACGCTCCTGTTTTAAGGAGCTCGGCATCCCGAGGGGCCCAGTTCTACACACCCCTGTTGGTGTCAACACACGTGTCGCAGACCACATCTGTTATGAAGACGTTGTTGGTGAGTGTGAGCGAGTGTGTTGCCACTGTTTCTCGCCGCCCCACTCTCCTTCCCCCACTTTGCATCTCGATCAGTCCAAAAACGAGTGCAATATGCGTTCCTAAAAAAAACTGTGCTGGCCCTGCTGGACCTGATGTGATACCACCCCATTGCAGATCCTAGGGCTGCTCTCAGCCTTGGCCGCTGGCCTGCATGCTGCCCCGCTGCCGGACGACCGGGAGGTGCCAAACAGCCTCCTGGAGCTGATGGAGGCGCTCCGGGAGCGACGCCCGGACCTGGCCGACAAGATCGAGAGGCACATCGAGCGCTCGCAGTACTGGCGCCGCGGGGACAAACAGGACAGGCCGGCGCGTGGACACCACGGCCATGACCGTGAACACGACCACGACAGCAGGCCAAGCCACGACCACAACCACGGCCACGGCGACCATGGCCACGGCGACCATGGCCACGGCGACCATGGGCACCGCGACCATGGTCATCACCACAGACCCACCCCGCCCCCAAGGCCAACCCGACCAACGACGCCGAAAGACGACTGCAATAATTCAGACAGTGACTCCTCAGGAGATTCATCGGGGTGCTCTAACGAGTCTAGCGGCTCCGGATCAGATTCGGGTGAGTCTGAGGAGACTACTCTTCCACCATCCAGTCCAACTGCCGCTCCCCAGGAACCGTCCCCAAGCCCATCTGCTGCACCTGAGAATCCTTCCCCCAGCCCATCTGCCGCCCCCGAAGAACCGTCCCCGAGCCCATCTGCTGCTCCTGAAGAACCATCCCCCAGCCCATCTGCTGCACCT